CAGGGTTTGGCGCTTCTGCCTACTCACCTCCCCCTCACACACACACACACGTTTCCCCCTCTTTTCTAGGGGGAAGCCCTCATAGTTCCTCTTCCATCCGCATTATTCCAGGGGGGTGTTTCTTCCCTTCTTCGTCCAGAAACAGCCCACCCCTGCCTGCCTCCTACTCAGCTGACGTTGATGCTGATTCTTTGCACCCAGGAACCTAGTAAAGCCCCCCGCTTTCTCTCCCCGCCCTCCGGACCCACCCCTCTATCCCTTTTGCCTGGAGAAACCCTCTCTCTCATTCTGAGCCCTCCTCCCTTGTTTTACCTTGTATGTGAATAAGTTTAATTGCGTTGTGCTTTTGCTTCTGGCTGCTCACTTTCGCCCTGGAGTCTTCTTAGGAACGACCTCCGCCCTCTGATTTTAGTTTTGCAGCAATTCACTGCAGGCTTTTAGGTTTTCTCTTTCCCCTTCTACTCCTTTTGCTTTTGATGCTCAGCTTTCTAACTAAGCTTATTGGCTGCTTGCTTTTTAGACTTTTTGATCTTTTCAGAGAAACGGATAGTGTATCTCCTCGTCCACTGGTGGTTTTTGAAAGGGACATGTAAAGAACTATTTTCAAGTTCACATTTAGTACTTCGAACTCTGTTCCTGTGGTGATTAAAACGGGTTTGGGGGAAAATATTCCTGGTAAACTCTTTTGCCTCTCTCTGTACGGGTGGTAATAGCGTTTGGAGAGGCTGAAGAGGAGGATGCCAAGGAAACTACTGTTGCCTTATAAATCTGTGTTTTCTCACTCTCGAGTTCCAAGGGGTTTGCATGATTCCTTGGCAATGAACGCAGCCCGAAGTGGCTACCGGGTCTTCTCGGCAAACTCTACAGCAGCCTGCACGGAGCTGGCGAAAAGAATCACAGAGTGAGTCTCACATTTTTGAACTATCATGTTTCTCTGCCTTCTTGAGATTGCCATTAGGTTGATGCTTTACTGTAACCAACTAAAGAACTGAAAAATAGGTCATATATGCTAAAATAAGCTGGGAAGGTTATTTGCTGGAGGCTTCCAAAAATTAATTAACCTTGATTTAATTCACTGTAGTTTGCTTCACATCTGCATAGCACACCTATCAAAGGGTGGCTATAGTTCTGCAGCACTAGTTCTGGTGATTCAGATGTTAAACATCTAATTTAAGTTGCATTTTTGCTACCTGTATATTTTAAATTTAATCTTACTGGGCCTTATGTGAAATTGGTGCTGTATTTGTCACTATCATTTCTTAAATTTATTGTTGCCACTGAGAACCCTTTTATAAAAATATACATTCTCACCTGCTCTATGATGTCCTGTGTTTGGGGTTGTTTTTAAAGTACTCCTTCCCTGTGTGTAGGCTGGAAAACTTGAAACTGGAAGAAAAACCTTCTGATAAGCTGGTAGCATTTTGCTGAACTTGGTACTGTACCTCACTAAAGTCTGATCACATCAGTCTTGCTTCTCCATTGTTTAGGGGATGATCTTGTCTGTAATGCTGATCTGAGAGTGCTTCTGGACAGAGGATTCCATTTGCTACTAGTCGAAAGACTTAGCATCCTTACTTTATTTACTGTATTTCTCCTCCTTAATAAATTTATTCTTGAAAAAGGGGTGGGAAAACATAGGAGGAGGATTACAAATATAATAGTCTGTTATTTTCTGGTTTGAAACAAGGTGATTCAGTGTTTGAGGCAGAGTAATTGCTCAATAAAATCCTTGTGAAATACCATCAAATTAATTTTACATAATTTTAAAAAAAGTTGAGGAAGAAAAACAGCTGTACTTTAATCAGAGGTGGAATGAGTCGGAGCCTGAGGGAATGCATAACTGGTTCTTCCTGAGCTCCTTTCTTAGTCTAACTTGCTTTGACAGTTTTCACATGGGAATAGAAGCTTTATGTGTAGGGATTTGAAGTCATAAAATAACCAAAGGAGAAAGGGTTAAACAGACCACCAACAGCATGCTCACTGGAAGAACAGATCCTGAAACTGAGGCTCCAATACTTTGGCCATCTCATGAGAAGACTTCCTGGAAAAGACCCTGATGTTGGGAAAGTGTGAAGGCAAGAGGAGAAGGGGACGACAGCTGACAGAGGACGAGATGGTTGGATAGTGTCATCGACGCTACCAACATGAATTTGACCCAACTCCGGGAGGCAGTGGAAGACAGGAGGGCCTGGCGTGCTCTGTTCCATGGGGTCACGAAGAGTAGGACATGACTTAATGACTAAACAACAACAAAGAATTTCTTAGTCTTTTCCACCTGCTTCTTATTGTCAAAGATTAAAACCCTCCACATACCTGCCAGGGCACAATTACAATCTATTTGTATGTCAGTATTTAGTCTGGCCCAGCAGGAGTTAGCTAGGGGTTCAGTTCCCTACTGTGCATCCCAGAATAGTGAACCTGTCTTGGCCTTTCTCTGCCTAGAAAACCCTGAAAGGCCAAGTCAGAATTGGCTTGACAGCACCTAGAAAAAAATATATAAAGACGTAATGCACATGTGCTAGCAACAGTTATTTGTTTCTCAGAGATACTGTGACAAAATTATTATAGTTATCATGGTAGATATCCTTACTGTGTTTCCCCGAAAATAAAAAAGGATCTTATATTAATTTTTGCTCCAAAAAACACATTAGGGCTTATTTTCAGGGCATGTTTTATTTTACAGTCATGTCATCTTTTGGTTGCTGCACAATGGTGGAGGACAGGGTTTCATTTAACTGGGGCTTATTTTTGGGGTAGAGCTTATATTAACGAGCATCCTGAAAAATCATAGGTAACGGTAAAGGTTTCCCTTGACATTTAGTCCAGTCATGTCCGATTCTAGGGCGCGGTGCTCATCCCCATTTCCAAGCCATAAAGCTAGCGTTTGTACGAAGACAGTTTCCATGGTCACGTGGCCAGTGTGACTAGACACGGAACACCGTTGCCTTCCCACCGAGGTGGTTCCTATTTATCTACTCACATTTTTACATACTTTCGAACTGCTAGGTTGGCAGGAGCTGGGACAAGCGATGGGAGCTCGCTCCGTGCTGTTGATTCGATCTTACGACTGCTTGTCTTCTAACCTTGCAGCACAGAAGCTTCTGTGGTTTCACCCACAGTGCCACCACATCCCTTCCTGAAAATCATACTAGGCCTTATTTTCAGGTTAAGTCTTATTTTCAGGGAAACAGGGTAGAAAGAAATAAAGGTGTATGTTTTCTAAGCATGTTAGTTTGTTTTAATTTGTATGTTATCATAATAACGATTTTTGTAGGTTTGGAGCTGAAAGATTTAAAATGCTTTCCAAGGCATGCAGCTTGAACTTCATCCAACTATGATCTTCAGATCTATTTTCATGGACTAATATAAATATTTCTTGTAGTGACCTTTCTAAAATTGAGAACAAGGGCTGAATACTGCACTTTCAAGATGTGTATGTGAGATCATGTCCAGACTGGGGAAGTTGGAGCGATCTGGTTCATGTTTAAAATGTTCTTGCCTTTAGTGCAATCTATTTTATGCCTCACTTGAACAATCCTTCCATTCATACTGATTGAATTTTCTTCTCCTGTGAGAAGGACCCAGATAGCTCTCTGAATCACTCCAATTTGTCCTCCTATCCATTCCCACCCCCTTCTCCACCTTTTCCTGTGGCTATCATTTAGTGGTTATGGCGACTTTCCATTTTTTCTTAAACTAATGGTCAAAGCACAACAACACTACATCTACTTGCATGGTACTGTACACATAATACCACCAATGTTTCTTATTTATCTAGAATAGTATTGTGTGTTGGAGAATAAATAGAAAAATAAAAATTGTAGAATAGATGAAACTAGGAAAAGAGCTCTCCTTTGGCCCTTTCAATGCCAGTCAACCAAATATGTCACAGGGGATGTAAGGGGAGCAGGAGATCATGAACAGAATGGAACAAACAAGCAGCCTTGGCACTACAATGCTTTACGGCATTCATATCCCTGCACTGTACTAATTGGACATTCTCCTTTTCTGTTTTTATTTTTTTTTCTGAAGTGACATAGCACTGAATTGATTTCACAGTTTATCTCAGTGAAATGTACTAGCTTTGTCCATTTCATTTAGTTCCACTAAAAAGTTTCAGATCAAGTCAAGACAGTGGGAGAAGGGAGCAGAGGGGGAGAAACCAACAACAAGTTAGTAAAGATAGGTTAACAGTGCAGCAGATATCTGACAGAGTGCTAAACTTGACAGTCATGTTAAAAATTTTTGCAAAATTGTTCAGAGGAGGTACAATAGCCACTCATTTGTGGTGGATTAGTCTACTGTAATGGCACATTGTGCTCCACTAGCGATGTTAATGTCACTGTAGGACAGAGCCCCAGCTCCCCCACTGGGCTGAGCTAGGGGATTGTACAAGCTAGAAGAAGAAAGTACAAAATAAACAGTCAAAAATAAGCAGTTGCTTGAGGGTTGAACAAAAGGACACAAATGCCACCATATAGAAATGTGGGCTTTAACCCAACTTTAACTACTCAATATTAAGCTGAGTGTTTGCCAGAAAAATGAAGATTTTGACTGTGCCAACTCCAGCATTTTGCAGTGTATACACACTTTTGTTCAGTTTCGTGTATGGCAGTTTGATGGTATTGAATGAGGAAATAGTAGTGTTGACCAATATTTTCAAGCCACAATTAGAGGAACAAATTTTAAAATTCATAAATGAGATGACATTCTCTGAAAATTCTTTTATAAAAACTACAGTAAATAGAAATATTTAGTCTGAATAAATAAATACTGTATTTACAAAAATGTCTGAAGAAAAATATTGAAAATAGCAACAAAAAGATAGGAGGCTGTAGAAACACTGCCGGCCCCCAATGTAGCAACTTCTACTGAGAGCAGTGGGAGAGGGAAAAGCCTATGACTCTTACTATGAATATTTTCCCCCTCAACAAAATCTGTCAACCAGCTACCTTGTTCAGGACTGAGACTGTGAAAGAGCAGCAGATAGCAGTACAGGTTGTGTCACTCTGTGCCAAGGAGGTGGTGGAGAAGCTTCTGGTTCAAGGTAGGACAGATAGGAGTAAACCTCAGAAATGTTCCAGTGTCTTTGTGCAATCCAGCCAGGGCAAAGGGATTAAAAATGTGGTAAAGATAGTACTTTTCTCCTATAGACACAATGTGCTGGAGAAAGATAAAGACTGTACAGTGGTGCCTCGCTTAACAATTACCTAATTAAACTACGAATCCGCTTTACGATGAGGTTTTTGCGATCGCAATAGCAATCGCAAAACAATGTTTAGATAGGGAAATTTTGCTTCACGATGATCGGTTCCCTGCTTCAGAAACTGATATTTCGCTAGACGATGATTCTAAAACAGCTGATCGGCAGCTCTAAAATGGCCGCCCACTGTGCAAAATGGCTCCCCGCTGTGCTTTAGGACAGATTCCTCACTTTACAGGCACCAAAAATGGCCGCTCCTATGGAGGATCTTTGCTGGACGCTGAGGTATTTAGCCCATTGGAACGCATTGAACCGGTTTTCAATGCATTTCAATGGGCTTTTTTGTTTCGCTTGATGAGGATTTTGCCTAACAGCAATTTCAACTGAACAAATTATCCTCATCAAGCGAGGCACCACTGTATCAGTGTTCAGATTGACCAGTATAACTGTCAGCTTGGGCAGCAGCAGCAGTACTGCTGCTTTTGGGGTTGGGAAAGAGGTTTATGGAGAACATTAGACATTGCATTCTATATCCATTCCACGCAGCACCATCATATTCAAGGAAGGGTTTGTCCTCCAGCCCCCATTCCCAGCAGATCTCGTCTATGCAAAGTAGCATTGTGATTGGTGGAAACTCCCCTTCAAGCAGATACACATCTGGCATGGGGGAGGAGGAGACTGAGGGGACTTAGGTGTGC